AGAGAGAGAGAGAGAGAGAGAGAGAGAGAGAGAGAGTGGGAGGGAAGGAGAGAGAGAGAGAGAGAGGGAAGGAGAATGGGAGGAAAGGAAAGAATAACAACATTAAGTCTATCAATATTAAGACTATCAACATTAAGACTATCAACTTTTTAACAGAAGTTATCTCAATAACCTAAAAAAAAGATAAAGATATTAAATTATATTATTTAATATTAATTTTATAATGTGTTTGGAAAATGATTTGGAGCATTACTCAATGTCATGAAAATAATAAAAAATTTCAAAATTAACACTTTGAGCTATTAGTTAGGATAAATATTTATTTAATATAAAAGTTCTGTAATTTTTATATAGCGGGCATGTGTTTGCTCCGCTTAGGAAAATAAAAAAAAATATTACTATACTGTACTGTAATTGAATTTAGAAGCTTAAAATATACGAAAAGTTTGCAGAAAAATTTCTATATATGTATGTTTACGTTTTCTAAATGTACTAAAACAAAGCAGTAAACACATTTATATAAGATCTATACGTACAAAAAATATGAAAAGAATAGCGTATTTGTATTAGTGACGATCGTCTCTATGTTATCGACATTATTGGAGTTCGTCGATATTTTAGTATATTCTAAGTAGATAATTCAAATTAACCACGTACTCGACAATTTTACGTTTTGCAAGATAGACGTCTTTGTATATTTTTAGATACGAAATTGCCTGTTTAAAAAATATAAAATTATTGAGGGCGTTTCTGCATCAAATTTTTTTCAAGTAACTTATGTGTGCAAAGTCAATAATAATATATGATGTGTATATCTAATAAAGTCATGATATGAGATGATTAGAAGGATATAATGTTAAGAAGAAAATATAAAATTTGAAATATACAGTTACGGAGCATTGTACTCTCTTTTCACGAACCACTTTACACTCCACCTAGTAATAGACCAATTTATAGGCCGTTCGGTGTGCAATTTTCTGCATTCAGGCATTAGTACTTAAACAAAGGCGGAAGGCATCTCAATTTTGTTATTCCTTCGTTCTTATTTCTTCGTCCTGCACATTAAATTTTATCGCGAAACTTACGCTGTCGTTCGCTGTCGTAAATCAGGAATCTTTAGATATTGCATGTATCCTCCACGCCGCAGGAGATATACAAATTATGAGGAGTTAATACTTACACTTGAGAAACTGTAACATTTTCTAAGGATAAAAAATGTGTGAATCCACAGGCAACTACTAATCGTCGAAAGCGTGACTAAGAGCGGCTAAAAAATTGCAAGCCGTATATGGTTATTAATCTTCAGGTATGTGTCCTGACTCGTAAAGCGCACTGACTCTTGGAACTACAATGTTTGAGAATTCGTAGCTGTAAAAAGTATTTAATTGTCGGTATCTTTCATCTTACTACTGCATTTGTTACACCAGAATTCATCACGCTACATTATTATGAAATTATCAATTCAAAATTTCAAGTATATATCCTTGAATTTTATTACATCTTGTCTAATATAATTTTCAAAATGCAAATATTTCAGAAACAAAAAGAGAGGTATTCTGATCTTCATGTCCTATATTTATTCTTCCTTTTTATCTTCTTTTTATTTCAATCTATATATAAACGTTGCTACAAATATTTCAGAAACAAAAAGAGAGGTATCTTGATCTTCATATCCTATATTTATTCTTCTTTTTTATCTTCTTTTTATTTCAATCTATATATAAACGTTACTACAAATAAAATATAATTTATATAGCTCAATCTAACGTATGACCATCGTTAAATTTAATACACTCTTTTGGAAAAGAGAAATTCTTATCTTCCGGGAAAAATTAATCTCTTTCATTCGTTTTTGTAGTAAAAAATAGAGATAGTTCGCGGCCGGGGAACGAGATACTATCTAGTCCTCGTTGAAAAAGGCATGAGGTTAGAAACTCGACCTTGAATTTGGTGCAAGAAAGTGCATCGCGTGAATGAGCTAATTGACGCGCAAGTACGCTGTAACAACGGCATCGTCGGAGTCTCAGCACGTCGAGAAAGGATTCATATATGTGGACCGTAACGGCAACAATATGAAGCCGTGATTACTCCTGTCAGTGAAATTCTTTTTTAATCACATCAATACACAATTACCAGCTTGTTATTGTGTGTCCACGATAGTCACAAATGAGTAATATCGAAATCACATACATACATTATGTATCAACCGATTTCATATTTTCATTTGTGGCTAACAGCAATTTGCTGGGATCAAACCAATTAAATTTTTATACAATCACGATTGCGACTCATAATTAAATTGCGAGCAGGGATTGTTCCTTGTATGATGAAGACATAAACTTGCAGTTTATAAGTGCAATCAATGTAATTAGAGAAGAAAGTTTCTGATTATATTAAGTTAATGTGCCTTAACTTCAAACGATCAATGTCATATGAATTATTTTGTTAAGTGTTAATAATATGCACAACAGTCGTGCACTTTGTTACTCCTTTTTATGACTTATTTACTTACGTAAATTATATAATAAAATTTGCTTTGCAAAGGAAATATTCCTGATAGAAATGTATGCAGTTTGCATAAGTACTTGCCTAATTATTGTTTAATATTAATATATTCTCGTTAATTGTAGAAATACTGCGAAGAATCTGGACAAGAATCTAATAGATTTCTATTCAACAACTGGAACAGTTTACTATACAATATGTGGATCGATTTTTTCCATAATAATATCAGTAATATTAGTTCAGTTTTATAATGTAAACATATTATAATGTCTATTGTATAAATAAATTTAAAAAATTATTTATGGTTTATTTATAAACTTTTTTGTGTTGTTAAAAAAACACTTAAAAATTTTTATGTTGTTAAAAAAGAGCGTAAATAATGCGTGAACGTATATAAAAACAGAGCAACAAAATTTGAGGAAATCAAAACGTTTGACAATATTAAGATGCAGCAGAAATGACAACTAAGGTTAAATATGAAAATGAATAAGAGACAAATAAAGTATATACTAACAATACTAAGTATAAGTATATACTAACAATACTAAGTATAAGTATATACTAACAATATAGAATTTTGTTGAAAAAAAATACATTAGATTATTCTGATAGTAATGACATAAATGAAAACTGTTATGATAGTTCAAATTGAGAACTGGATAAAACGCAGGAATGGATACAACTATAAGAATTGATAAAAGAACATATGTCATTTGATGATTGCAAAAGATGTCACGTGTAAAAAATGCAAAGTATACAAACATTACGCATCAAAGATTTCCTGCGATATGACTTTCATTAGTAGTAATTTAAGTCTTATAATTTTTCAGTTAGAAAGCATGTACAAAAACAACAACTACTAAGGCAAACCTGTCCAATTAATGAGCAGTATACTTGCTGCTTATTAATCAATTAGATAGATTTTTGTCCATTTGATGTTCTGCTTTCATTTAGTAAATAGGTTCAGATTTTGCGCAATTTCAACATTCAATAACTACAGAAAAAGCTTTACCCAATCTTGTGATTGAGATTCTAAGTTTCATTCTTCAGTTATCAGACAAAAGTAAATATAATTGTCCAGTATAACTGCTCGAAAACTGTAGTAAATTTCTGTCAAAGATCACATTCTATGTCGCATAGAGAATGAAAAAATAAATTTATCGGAAATAGAAAGTAGTGTAAAACAATCTGCAAAAAATTGCAGAAATTCATTTCACAAAGAAATTTGTGCATATAATTGCACTTTTTCTGCAAAAAATGAATTATTATTCGACAATTTTCTCCAGATCAGATGCAAAATCAACCGAATAGATCGTCGATGTTGCAGCATGAGAAATGTAGAACAGTCTTTCTGCAGGATCGTATTATTGGCGTAGTCACGTTCTCTTGTTATTCGCATTTTGGAAAGCAACGTGATTGGGTGTGGTTTGCAGCAAAGACATTATCACGTCTTTATCTGTCGCATCTGGAATATTACACAAAAAGATCAATTTAATTAACTTTAATGAACTTCTGAAAGTGAAATTATATTTTTTTCTTTATTTTTCATTTCCCTTCTTTTGTCATTCTTTTTGTCCATTTTCTGTTTAAGATGTACGTGATTGTCTTTGAGATTTTCTAGTCTTTTCTTTTTCCAATGTACACGAAATATCTGAATTACCTCAATAATGATCTCTAAGACTTTTTTCCCATTTGTTTTACGTTGCAATTTTACGTCAATATTTGGTAGTTATCACGATAAATAACAATAGAGCCAAATAATAGAGAATGAAAAGTTTATGATCAGGATTGTAGAGTATAGCAATGACAGGCATCGAATAACCATGCCAACTTTCAGTCGACAAATATCAATAAATTGTGTAGAGTCGTTATAGAAGCTTACTATTCAACTCGCGCGCGCACGCGTGTGTGTAGGTATGTGTGTGTGTCACTCGATCATGTTAATCCATTTAACCATTTTACTTTGTTTCAATGAAACCGAGATGATGCGCGAGATTTGTCTGTCTGGGTTCCCAACTCATCACTGGACTCGACGGATACTAAGGCGAGACCCAGGATCCCACGGATCTTGAAGATGATGACGATATTCGCGGCGAATACGTCCACTGAGCCACGCCATCGGGCGTATCTGTCCGTTCTCGATGAAGAAAGCGTCGATTTCTCCCTAAACAAAAATCGGACGGTTTATCCGCGGCGTGTTCAGCGTAAAAGACCGCGAGCTCGTAGCGGGCCCGCCCGTCCGTTTTCCATTTCCATCCGCGCAATGAACGGCGGACCCGCTCTCGTCCATGTACAATTTCCAACGGTGGGAGGCGATCACGACGTGCAACGGTCTATGCTCTTTTTATCTTGTATAAAAGAGAAGAGGCGTAGTGCGGGTAGTCGCAATACATCTTGGAACGTCCGCGGTGGCGAGCATACGCTGGCCCCGAACACATTGAATTGAACTTGGGCTCCGTTTTCGATCGGTCAGCAGGTGGTGAACCTGGTCTTTTCGTCGCCGGCACACATTGCGACGGCAGCGGTAACGCCACAGGGCGAATAGAACACGAATACTATCGACCGGACTCGGTAAGCGACGTGAGCGATTCAAAACCCGGCAGCATGCAATACTTGGTGAGTTTGAGCTTTACTATTCAACAATAAATTACAGCTTACTTATGGCTTTTTTCGATTAGCTTTTTTTGTGATCGAGTTAATTTTTTAAATTTTTGTTTTGTTCTCCTTCTTTTCTGTTTTGCAACCTTTACTTTCGGGTGATCTTGAAATTAGAATATACTTGGTTGCAAAACGGTTTAGACCCAATGAAGATGAGGTTTCACCAAACTGTCAACATTACCGACGAGCTTGCGTAGTTATCGTAGTTTTAATTATTATTACTATTGTTTTTATTAATTATTAATGTTATTAATTATATTATCACTGTGTAAGCTCGTGGATCATGACTCTTAATTTTGATATTTGGTAAAATCCTAATTTCATCATGTTTAAACAGTTTTCAATTGACTATATGTTAAAAAATAAATAAATAGTTTGCAAAGGAAAGAGAGAGTGTATGTTTAATGAGTGACTTTTGTTTAAGATTGGCATCTTTCTAACGTAACTAGCTAATCTAAAAAGAAAAAGTAGAAGAGAGTGTATGCACCACATAACTAGATAATGTTGTTACGAAAGCTGATCTTATTTATAAATTTAAATATTATTAGAGAATTCTGTTTATTATAATTCCGAATAACACTAATTAATAAACATCAAGGTAAAATATACAAGAATAATATATTTTAGTTATGTGAACCCGAGAATAGCATATTAGTTAGCCAATGGTTGGCTGATTGTACGTTGTACCTAATGCTTTGTACTGTTCGAATGGTTAAAATGGAAAGTCAAAACAGAACAATTCAATCTAATATATTCAAAAGTTGAACAAAAAAGTAATAATTCTGAGTCACCGTGTGTATGTGACATTGCCTCGAGAAGAGATAAGTATTCCTTGATTTTCCTGTCAAAATCGACAAATATGACTTGAAATAATCACTAGTAGTATAACATCAACTTTCATCTCGTGTGAAAGTCTCAATCGTGCTTATCAATGAAACTGTAGAGGAAGAGGCGAGGCCCGATAATGAGTCGCGGTCCTCGTGGGATTTCGATAATTACATCGGCTCATCATAAATTAAATACCAATGACAACTGTAGCGTGGCGGAATCGCGTGTCTGTCGTGCGCACACGATCGCAGGCTTAATCGTATGTACATACCATACGCGGTTGATTGTCCGTGATTTCACGCGAAAGTCTTCTGTCAACTCGATAGTAAACGATAGCTCGTTTATTCCACGTCGCTCATTACCGTTCAAATGGTGCTAATCCGCAATTAATGTTCCCAGGCCCTCTGCGTTCTGCTGATGGCGATCAGCGAACCTCTTCTTATTCACGCGTGAGTACTCAAGCCGCACCTAATTAAGGCTAAGTGTTTATGTTAGTTTCATAGTAGAGCGGCTGAAAGTTGACGGCTACTTAAATAAATGCGTCCTCGTCTCATTTTCATAGCCTTCGCCTTATAAAATCGACAAATATGACTTGAAATAATCACTAGTAGTATAACATCAACTTTCATCTCGTGTGAAAGTCTCAATCGTGTTTATCAATGAAACTGTAGAGGAAGAGGCGAGGCCCGATAATGAGTCGCGGTCCTCGTGGGATTTCGATAATTACATCGGCCCATCATAAATTAAATACCAATGACAACTATAGCGTGGCGGAATCGCATGTCTGTCGTGCGCACATGATCGCCTTGTAAAGGAAAGTAACAACGAATCTTCATTTAATGAGAACACTTTTTCCGATGATGATTGAAGAGTTCAATTCCAAACGGTTAATTTTGATAAAAAAAAGAATAATGAAGATTATGTTGTAGTATAAATTTTAAGAGTTTTTGTATAAATTTGAAAACAGAACTTTCCTTTCATCATGACGATGACCTTTTCTCCCTTAAATAGACAAGATGTCCGAAGTAGAGCACGAATACTGCGGAATCTGGTTTACACCGTTTTTTGTGGAAACATAAAACATGTGAAAGTATAGTCTTTCCTTGTGATACTATTCCATAGTAATACTATTAATCGTAAAAAACTTTGGTCACGGTTACAGAATCAATTGTACCAGTACTTTTCAGACTATCTTCAAACATAAAAATCTCTTTCACTACTTAAACAGGACAGAAAATCACGATCCCTTACAGAAAAGTTTTACTTCTAATTACCAGTAGTGATTAATCATTGTTTAGTAATTTGATTATTTAGTAAATTACCATATGTAATAATTTTTTTTAATTTCGACAAATCTGTCTATTGGAATAGCTTGGTCAATCTAATGTTTAATTATTTTGTTTAAATAATAAAAAAATATAGTATTTCATATTTTTATTCTCTGTATTTATACGTATGTTTCCGCGTGGTTTTGATCCAATAACGGTTCATCATTTTCAACGCTTAAATTTAATGATTAGTGCGAATAAGCTCTGACGATATCTTGGTAGATTATACTTATAATAAACTTTTATATCGTTAAAAAAAACATTGCAATGACATATTTGCTGGAAAATGTTGAAAACGTTGCAACAGAAATCGGAATACTGACTGATATTGATACAATATATATCAGTAAAACAGCAATAATATGATTGTTCTTAGATTTGGAATTAAACATTATAATGAAAATTAGAGCAAAGTATAAGATATAAAATAATTGATATTAATCATGAAATAATTTATGTTTATCTTTCTTATTATTATTATGCATATAAAAAAGGACTATATACTGAGAAAAAATTTAGTCAATTTGAAAAGAAATAATTTGTTTTGAACGAATGATTTTCTAAAATGGTATTTTATCAATGGCGTATTTATTTGAATTAAAAAGAAATATTAATCAGGATGAAAAATTGTTTGCTGAAAAATAATGAATTATTGATTAGATTGAAAATATATTTAGTGAAATGTAAAAAATAATTATTTATTTAAGAATTTTATTTAATGGTTGTATATATTATCTTGCTCAAATAAAGAAATTATTTACAAAATTTAAAGAAATATTTGTTTAATGTAGAGAAACCAGAAGTTAAAACATAACATACACTTGTAAAAATAAAAAAAATATTTATTGAATTTGAATTAATAGATTCCTGAAAACCTTATTTATTTATTTCAAGTGCACTAAAGCGTTACTTACAATGAAGTATCCAATTGTCAAAATGAGAAAGCATGATTTCCTTTCAAATTAAAATTATTCCGCTAGATATAAAAATAGGATGCTTTCAATAAATATTTTTAAAACTAATGAATTATTTATTAGATTTGACATAAATAAAAGGAATTGTAAAAAATATTTACTTATTTATTTTATATATTATTTTTAAATATTGCATGACTAAAATTAAATAACTATTTATCAAATTTCAATAAAAAATTGTCCACTTTAGAGAATTTTTCTTTATTCTTCTTTATTGAACGGTTCTTTAAATTCTTTAAAAATTCGTATGAGAGCAATACTTAGAAACGACTAAATTGCTTCCAATGTTACATCACATTTAAAATTCTTACCATTTGAAAATTCTTATTGGCACTGGTGGGATTCGAACTTGGACTCGTGAGGCACCTCTGGATTATGAGTATATTGCTTTAGGCACTACACCACTTCTTCGATCAATATAAACGTCTTACATTTTGATTATATGTGTTGTAATGTGTTTTAAAGTAAATTAATATGTAGTTTGAAAAAATATTTGTTTAAAGTTATTTCCTGAATTTAAATATATTAGATGTTTCAGTTGTTAAGAATAAGTTATTCAATTTGAGCAACGGTTGTCTCAATAATATTTATTCATTATTTCTTTTAAAATTATTTCACGTTGGATAAAATATTTCTTCATTTTTATTATATATATTTTTAAAATGAATTATTGCTTATTACAATTTCATAAATAACCTCTTATTGCAACTAAAACATATTTGAATAAATATATTTATTTAGATTAAATAAATTTTTATATCAGTGTATACTTAATTATGTTTTTTTATATGTAATACATTAGTTATTCAAAACAATTTTATGATTGGACTAAAATAGATGTTATATTACGTGCATCCAAAACCACGAGTAGTTTAGTAAGCGCTCATGGGTACACTGAAAAAAAAATTTATTTAATCTAAATAAATATATTTATTCAAATACGTTTTAGTCATAATAAAAGGTTATTTATTAAATTGTAATAAGCAATAATTCACTCTAAAAATACATCTAAAATTGAAGAAATATTTTATCCAACGTAAAATAATTTTAAAACAAATTAAGACAACCGTTGCTCAAATTGAATAACTTATTCTTTACAACTGAAAAATATAATATTTTCCAATTGAGAAAATAACTTTAAATGAATATTTTTTGAAACCAATTAATTATTGTACTCAATAATAATACACTATTCTGTAAAAATTGTTTTACTCTAATTTAAGAAATGTTTGTCTGAAAATGTCAAATTTTGTTGATATCATTTATTAAAATCAAAGAAAATATTTTCTAAATTAAATTTTTTGGTTATTGTAAAAAAGAGTAAAATATTTATTTAAGATTAATTGTTTCAAAACAACTTTATAATCCATTAAATAATAATAACCTATTTATAACCTAATAACCTAGGTTATTATTGTTTTGAAATAATTAATCTTAAATAAATATTTTACTCTTTTTTACAATATCCAAAAATTCTAATTCAGAAAATATTTTCTCAGATTTGAATAAATGATATCAACAGAATTTGATATTTTCAGACAAACATTTCTTAAATTAGAGTAAAGCAATTTTTGCAGGATAATGTATTATCATTGAATATAATAATTAATTAGTTTCAAAAAATATTCATTTAAAGTTATTTCTTCAATTGGAAAATATTATATTTTTCAGTTGTAGAGAATAAGTTATTCAATTTCAGCAACGGTTGTCTCAATAACATTTATTCGTTATTTATTTCAAAATTATTTCACGTTGGATAAAATAGTTCTTCAATTTTATTATATATATTATATATATTTTTAAAGTGAATTATTGCTCATTACAATTTAATAAATAACCTCTTATTATAACTAAAACATATTTGAATAAATATATTTATTTAGATTGAATAAATTTTTTTTTAGTGTACAGGCAATAATTCATACCAATAATTCATCACATGAATTCAATAATACATCAATGATTATTACTGTCGTAATAATCATTGAATTACTTTGACATACTAGTAACTCTATAATTTAAGTACTCAAAATTAATTACTAGTAATAAAATTACTGACTAAGTAATATTTTTCTGTAAGGGATAACATAAAAATGATAAGAAAATGAACGAATCATGATTGAAAAGTGGGTTTTGTAGTAATTTTGAACATATTATAATTTTTTGTTTTTTTGGGTAGATTTAGTTTCTTCATGAAAACTGAAAAAGAAAACTTTATTTTACTTCAATATTTCACTTTAAATATCTTGATGTTTATATAAAATCCTTGCTCACGTGTGAATTTAATGTAATTGCATCGGATTTCATTGCAATGAATTCGTTTCGAGCATCGCGTGACTATATTCCATGCAATTATACCGTGAGTAATTAAGGACTCACGCAATAATGTTTTGAAGGCATTTAAATAAATCATGAAAAACCACAATTACAATAAATAAAAACTATATAATAACGGAATATTTGGAAGTCTAAGTATACCCCTTTCAATTTTTAGAAAGGTGTTATTGGTCGTACCTCGACATGTAAGACGAAGCCCGGCGGTGTCATGGAGACCTCCTTCATTGCACTACAAAAAGTCATCTTCCAACAGTAACGATTTTCATCGTCACGCATACAGTTACGGCAATCGTTATAACAGGAAACCATACCGACCAATGGCATATCCACAAGGGGGCGACGATTTCGATCAAGGTCACGAAACCGTGAATCACGTGCACGTACCGTACGGTAAAGATGTTAGTCACAGTGTCTCGTTTGGCAAAGGATACATCCCCTACGAGAATGTCAAAAGCAGCAATCTGCCATTTGTACATGAAAGGTACGAATTTATCTTGCGTCTGTAAAGGCTTACCCAAACTAGTACAGTCGCATAATAATAACAAATTCAATTGGATGCACTAGTGAGCACCAATGTGCACTAAGGCCACATTCGTAGTCCACTCTTATATTTAATATTGTCTTCAATTTATTTTCAAATGCTCTGTAACCGGTGAAATGATTCGTAGAATATCTGAAAATGAAAACTTAATGCAATCTTAAATATAAAAAAGGACCATATAAATATTAGCTTAATGGGCACTAGTGTATCGAATTTGCTATAAAATTGATAATCATATATTTGATATACAGTCTATTCCATGAGATAACTGATGTATAGTCTATACAGTGTGTCCCAAAAGTCTTGCAACCTTTAAATATTTTAAAAAATACGCATTTCCAAAAAAAAATGCTTAATATAAAAGTTGTAGAGTCAAAAAAGATGTATTTACTGATCTTATCAGTTTGACCTTGGGCGGCACCGCCAAAGTCAGGTCAACTTTGCTTTTTCAAATAGAAATATGTATTTTTTATTACGGAATTTTATTCTAGGTAAAAAAACAAACAACTTTTATTTGAAAAATTTTTCATACGATCTCTATTTTCTAAGATATTTATGGAAATATCTACAAAATTATTGATTTCAATAATTTTTCACACAAATTCTACCAACTTTACCGAAAAATAACAAGAGAAAAAAATTATCTATTTTTTCTCATAAAACTCTGAGAATTTTTTCAGAATTTTATAATTAACTTTTTAGTACTGCATTCTTTTATATTTTCTTGAAGTACTAAAAGGTTTATATAAAATTCTGAAAAATTCTCAGATCTCTATGAAAAAAAATAGATAATTTTTATCTGTTGCTATTTTTCGGTAAAGTAAATAGAATTCGAGTAAAAAATTATTGAAACCAATAATTTTGTAGATATTTCCATAAATATCTTAAAAAATAGAGGTCGGGTATAAAAAATGTTTTCAAACAAGACTTGTTCGTTTCTTTATGTAGAATAAAATGTTTCTATTTAAAAAAGCAAAATTGACTTCGACCTGATTTTAGTAGTGCCACCCAAGGTCAAAACTGATAAGATCAGTAAATATATCTTTTTAGACTCTACAACTTTTGTATTAAACATTTTTTTCGAAAATGTGTATTTTTCAAAATATTTAGGAGACTTTTAAGACATACTGTATATGTAGGCAGCATGTCAAGAATATACAATCTAAAAAAAAGAATTTTAATATCTCAAAATAGACTCAAAAAAGTATCATATAATTATCGAATAATGGGTTTTGCCATTGTCAATTATATTTGGCATGCTTTCGATTAATTTTTCAGCATATTTATATAATAAAGAGCGCCATATCTATCTGATTCTGTTCGGCAGTTACTTGAGAATAAAGATTGGTTTTCTTCTTAGTTTGTACTTTATATAAAACCACATACTCTCAATTGGATTTGTATCTGTGGATGGTGCAGGCCAATTCATTGTGGTGATACCATTTTCAGTTGCTCATTCTATGCAAAGGAGATTTCAATGCTTCGTTGTCTTCTTGAAGCTGCCTATTTTCTCTATTTTTCTCATAAAATTTCTCAGCAGATCAACAAATATTTCTGATAAATATTAGCGTAGGATTTCGTTAAACAGACAAGCGATGTCCTTTCTCGACATTGTCGTACGGATTAAACTCCTCTCTGGTAGATCGTCAACATTCCTTATTTTTTTGCACTGTTTTACCCACTTCTGAATGAATGACTTTGATTTTTCTAAATCATCATGAAATCTGAGCATACGTTAATTTTAGTCCTTTTGCCATGCAAAACTAAAAATTCTGTTTTATAACGCTTGAAATACTTTGAAGTCGTTTTACAAGTTTCCACTCTAACAAAACGTAACATCTGAAATAATAACAAAGCATATCTGTGCAAACGGGCACAGTCATGTGTGCAATGGTCTAACGTCATAAAATGGATGCGCTACGGTCAACCATCTTGAATTAAAAAACAATCTTGTTAGAACAAACTGTAACTCACGGTTCACAATACATATAGTATTTTTGTTCTCCAAATAGCTCTTGGCGTTTGAAGGTCTAAACTGTAACATAACTGTAATTGTAGTTTCTGGCTAAAGACATTTCACGCATTGTCTTTATATTTGGAATCTGGCGAATTCTCGCCATAATTTTCATCATAATTCTGAACTTGAAGTAAACGATTAAAGGTTTACTACATTCTTTTACTGATCGAATTTATAATGGGCCAAATCATGAAATTATGTTGTATTGTCGCTTGTGGACTTAATCGACAGGTCAAACAGAAAGGTAAATCTGCTTTAGTTTCTACCTTACCCAGTTAACCAAGCGTGATTTAGCATATCAAGCAAACGAATGCATTGCATGTTTTGCTGAATAGTTGATATTTGGTTGCCATCAACGTAAGCGATGTGCTACCAAATTCAGCAACATGAGTGGTAATACATGTAATCAGTTAATGAAATTTAAAAAAAAAATGATCAGCAACAATAGTACCGAAGGTTGCAAACAACATGATGGCAACATGACAAGAACTGATAACTTGTCTTTGCGTCAATAGCATTTTGATGGCAACGTGACAACAACAACAGAAATGGAACCTTTTTCATCGATTTGCTTTGTATTTGCTTTCAATCGTTGAAGTTTCTAAATTATATGTTTTTGCCGACAAAGTGTGAACGATAAGTAATTTTCATATATTTACAACAATTTGTCAATAACAAACATACTGTGCACGAATTTAAAAAATAATTTTTTATTTGGCAATCTTAGGGTGCGTTCCCATTTAGCGAGTCACGCGTCGCGTCGTCCAAGTTAAGCCAATCAAATCGTCCCATTTTATTGCATAACTTTACGCCGAAAATGGGACGATTTGATTGGCTTAACTCGGACGACGCGACGCGTAACGCGCTAAGTCAGCGGAACTCAGCCTTATATATGTTATATGACTATTATGTGGTATTTGCTAGGTATATTATAACATACTATGAACATTATAAGGATATATTATATAAGCGTAAATCGCAAGAATATCGTTGGAGTCATTGGGAATCGCCGCGTGTCGCTCGATCCTCAGGTTTAAGCACACTTTAACGGAGAACATGGATGGGTGACCGATGATATACCGCTTCGGATCAAAACTATCGAGGGGAGGATTCACGAAAGTTTGGAGTGTGTGTTGTTGACAATCTTCGATACCTAAATGGTTTATGAGACATGAGAAAATTAGAAATTATAAATATATTTTTTAAATATTATGATTTTCTCATTTTTCACCTTCGCACAATAATTTTCAGTATTTGATTACTATTAATATTTAACAGTGATTTTATTATCAGTATTCACTAGAAATTAAGCACTGACCAAAAAATTACTGAATTACTGGTAATACTTAATTACTAATAATTTTTCAGTATTTCTTAGTATGATTAGGTGTTTCTACATTATGTTCGTTGGAATATGCGATGACAATATGCCATCATGTGTACATCATTCATATTTAAGCAATTGTTGTCGTCATGTTGCTGTCAACTTGCTGTCGACTCATGAAGAATACACGTGAGCACAATGTAGATACACAACGAACATAATGTAGAAGCACCTTGTCCCTACTTTTTCGAAAACAGTTACTTCAACGGTTCTCAGTAACTTGACGGCAACTTCATAGACAGGTGGCTATCTGGGTAGTTTGCTTAAAGTTACTCATACAGCATACACCTCTACATT